AATTATAGGCATTTCTCCAGATAATATATGAATATATAATGAATATATAATATATATTCAAATGCATTAAAAATGTCAGCAACACTAATCAGAGAAATTCAAATCAAAACCATAGTGAGGTATCACTTGAACTCAGTTACAATGGCTAACATCAAAAAGTCATGCTGGCAAGGATATGGGGAAAGAACTCTCATACATTATTAATGGGGTGTAAATTACTATTTCTATTTTGGAAAACATGATTTTACTCAAAGGACTAGAAGTAGAAATACCATATGAGGTGGGCTGGGGACACAAGCCTGTAATCAAGCTACTTGGGAGGCTGAGGTAGGAAGACTGAAAGTTCAAAGTCCCACTTGGGCAGCAGAATGCATTCAGATTTGTCCTGGGCAACTTAGCAAGACCCTTTCTCAAAATAAAAAGTGAAAAAAAAGCTGGTGATATAGTTCAGGGTACAGCACTTGTCTAGCATGTATAAGTTCCTAGGTCCAATCCCCAATTATTACAGAAAGACAAAGGGGATATGGGGGAGGGGACACCTACCATATGATCCAGCTATTCCATAATGAATCCGCACCCAAAGGAACTGAGTTCTCTGTTTCAATGAGACATATGCACCCGCATTGCACTTGCATGTTAATTGCAGCTATTAAAAATGAAATTTTGCCAGGCATGGTAGTGCATGCCTTTAATCCCAGCACTTGGGAGGCAGAGGCAGGTGAATTTCTGTGAGTTCAAGGCCAGCCTGGTCTACATAGTGAGTTCCAGGAAAGCTGGGGCTACAGGGAGACCCTGTCTCAGAAAGACCAAAAAAAAAAAAAATGAAATTTTATGGGGCTAGAGACATGGCTCAGTGGTTAAGAGCACTGGCTGCTATCACAGAGGACCTGGGTTCAGTTCCCAGCACCCACATGGCAGTTAACAACTGATTGTAACTCCAGTTCCAAATCTGACTCCCTCTTTTGACCTCTGCAGGCATTGCACACATGTGGTGTGCTTACATACATGTAGGCAAAAGACACATAGAATTAAAAAAATAATAATTTTTTTAAAAAAATGAAATTTTCTGTCATTAGGCCAGACATGGTGGAGCACGCCTTTGATCTCAGCACTCAGGAGGCAGAGACAGGCAGATCTCTATGAGTTCAAGGCCAGCCTGGTCTACATAGTGAGTTCCAGGACAGCTGGGGCTACAGGAAGACCCTGTCTCAAAAAGACCAAAAAAAAAAATGAAATTATGTCATTAGAAGAAACATGGATGGATCTAAGGAACATGGTATTATTATATTAAGGAAAGTAAGGCAGAGAAGGATGAACACCATATGTTCTTAAAAGTAGAGACTAAAAAATTGATCCCAAAGTAGAAAATATGGGCTAGGATATATAGCTCAGTGCATGTCTAAGCTATGCAAGACTTTAGGTCCAATGCCCAGAAGAAGAGAGATAGAGGAGAGAGGAGGGGAGGAGAGAGAGAAAAAAAGGAAAGGTGAGAGAAAGAGGGAGAGAGCGAGAGAAAGGGAGAGAGAGAGAGAATGAGAATAGTGGTTATCAGAATCTGGGCATGGTTTGGAAAGGGGAAGATTGCAAAGACGATGGTTCATGGATGCAGGGGGGAGGTTGGATAGAAGGAATATTTCTAAAGCTCTACAGGCAGAGCTTCTTAAACACTGTTTGTGCAAAATCCCTTTTCAACCCAGATATGTAGATCTATAAAATAAGTATACACATCAAACATTTATTGATGACCAATCATAAATTTACATTAAAACAAATATTTAGTATATATTTTACTACTTATTAGAAATGAAACCCAATTTGCATACTAAAGAGATGGATGTACTTGTTTATTTATACATAAAGAATTAAATCTTGGTTGAATACTTACTGTTGCTGAACTCATAGCATTTTTCAGAATTGATTTATAGTTTAATTTTTTTTTTTTTTGTCTTTTTGAGACAGGGTCTCCCTGTATCCCCAGCTGGCCTGGAACTCACTATTTACACCAGGCTAACCTTGAACTCTCAGAGATCTGCCTGCCTCTGCTTCCTGGGTGCTAGTGTTAAAAGTGTGGGCCACCACACCCAGCTAAGAGTTTGATTTTTCATCTTCATTGCTGAGGAAACCACATAAATACACACTACAAAGGGGAAGAAGTCTGTTTGGGGCTTTTTTGGAAATTCTGTTCTAATCTCAAGCCAAAATTCACTTAATGATTTTGTTTGTTTGTCTTTCTGTAGCCCCAGCTGGCCTGGAACTCACTATGCAGACTAACCAGGCTGGTCTCAATCTCACAGAGATCCACCTGCCTCTGCCTACCAGGTGCTGGGATTAAAGGCATATACCACCACAACCTGCTTAGCAATTTTTTAAAAATAAAACTAAAAAGCAACTCCAAAAGCAACTTTGTGACACAGTATCTTAGGTAGCCTACCCTGGCCTCAAACTCATATGTAGCTGAGGCTAGCCTTGAACTCCTGATCCTCTTGCCTCCAGTGCTGAGATTGAACATGCCAGGTTCAAACAGTAATTTTTTTTTGTCTTTTTGAGACAGGGGCTCCCTGTAGTCCCAGCTGTCCTGGAACTCACTACGTAGACCAGGCTTCCCGAGTGCTGGGATTAAGGCCACCATGCCTGGCCAAACAGTAATTTTTTTAAATCAAACATTTTTTATTCTCTTATGATGTCATATGTATTTATAATGTACTGTAACCATAGTCACTGAGGAGACAAGCCTCTGGATGTCTTCGGCAAGGAGGGGAGCACTTCATGAGCCCTCGTTTTCACACACCCGTCTTGCTGTCACTTGGTTCTCAATGCCCCTTGCGCCCCATAAGGTCCCATGTGCTGCAGCAAAGGGCCTCTAAGGACAAGAGATTAATGTGGGGTCCACAGAGGTAAAGTGCAGCATAGTTGAGAAGTCACTAGCATGCATTCTGGGGTCACCCCTCGATGGCCCATCCATCATAGAGTCTTCCTAAGAGGAAATGCCGGGCCCCACACAGCCCTACCCAAGGCAGTGACCCCTGGGGCCTGGAGCCACTCCGTGGGCAGACACTAGTGGGGATGGACCGTGGATGAGGTGTGTCTTCTCATTAACCAATGGGGACGCCTTCGGCTTGACCCTGCACAGTCTGGAGGTCCGCGGGCCATTGCCTGGAGCGCAGTGCTACCGCCTCTGGAGCGCCCGCACATGTGCAGCAGGGAGGGCAAGTGTGGATATGCATGGTGGAAGATGATCAGAAAATAGAAGATGCGATTTGGTAGGAGAATATGGAGCCCGGGGACCGAGGCATGCAACAAAATCAAGAAGACGTGAGAGAAACTTCTGAAAGGTTTATGACCCTGTGTAGGTGCAGAGCTGCATGGAAAGGAGTTTGTCTGAAAAAATACTGAATGGAAGGTAGAAATCTAGATTCCATCCACCCTCTCATAATACACAGGAATTTGACATCTACCAGGGAAATCAAATATAAACTGGTAAGTAAAGTGGGTCACTAAAGAAAAATTCCACAGTTTATTGGGCCTGGAATAAAGGACTGGTCATTAACTGGAAGGTCTTCTGAGAATGCCAAACAGTAGAGGCTAAGCCACATAGGCTACAATTCTAGCCTTGAGCAGAGTTAAAGAACAGAACTACTAAAAAAAGAAAAAAAGGCCATCAGCCTTTGTGAGCTGACCTGGGGGCAATGGGAAGTTTCCAACAGCTCCCTATTCTTTTCCCTCCCCAAGACTTCCAGCATATATTCCCAGTATCCGAAACACACTGGAAATCTCCTTATGACCTAATGAAAAATCCTGGGCTAGAAACTGAACTATTTTGACTGTAGCACCAATGCCCTACTCTTAGACTCAATTTCCTTAAGGCATGTGTACCTTGACAATCCCCAAAGGGTTTCTATAAGGATCAACTGAAGCAATATATTAGGGTGCAGGATATGTACAGAAACCTATAAATGTAAAGATTCATATTTCTTGATAAGTCAAAAAAAAAATTCTTAGTCCAGGATCCCAACCAAGAAACGTGCCATCCACGGTAGGCAGGTTTTCCTACCTCAACTAAAACAATCAAGGTAATCCCCCACAGACATGCCATTGTATAGGGCTGTGCTCTGACAGATACCATTTTCCCAAATTTGGTTACACCTGATTGCCTAAAATTGGCAACAGCTGGGCTTGTTGACTGTTCACACACCTCTCCCCTACCAAAAGGAGGGGCAAGGAGAGTCACAGGGACCCTTAGCAGGCAAGTCCAGCCACACCTCCCAACCAACCCATGATGAGCAATTCAGCCCTAATTGCACATGGCCTGGGGAGGGGCTAAGGGAATATGGACTAGGGAAAATTAGGGGAGGGTATTTCTCCCACTACTTTGTGCAGTTGTGGGGACGCCACCATCCATACTTGGGTGAAGACTTTCTGGTGTGACCTTAGGGTGGGAGCACCCACCATCCTGTAAGTAAACCCTCAAACATTGCTCTGTAAGTAAGCCTTACAAACTCACTGGTTTCCCAGAATACAGTTTGGTGAAATCATAACTCAGTTTCCCATACAGACCAAGGGAGGAGAAGACAGATGTAGTTCACACTCCCCCAAAGAATTTTAGCAACAAATATCCAAAGGCCCATCTTCCAGGTGATTCTAGATTCTTTCAAATTAACAATTATCACTAATCATCACACAACACCCCGATTTTGTTTCTCTAGAACCACTTCAAGTACCGTGGTCTGTATTGAACAGAATTCTTTAGAACAGAACCAAAAGAATGAATATAAGTTCAAAGGGGATTTATTGGCATATACAATAGACTTGGGTAGTCCAACATTGGCTATTGTTCTAGTTTACTTTTCTTTTGCTGTAATAAAACATTCTTGCCAAAAAGCAACTTGGAGAAGGAAAGGGATTATTTGACTTTCACTTCCAGATCACAATCCATCACTGAAGGAAGTGAGGACAGAAACTGAAGCAGAAACCATGGTGGAATCCTGCTTACTGGTTTGCTGTCCAGCTTTTCTCATGCCTATGCTCCACTAGTTTTGTTACATAATCCAGGCTCACCTGCCTATGGATGGTCGTCCCACAGTGGGTGTGACTCACCAATAGCATATCATCAATTATCAATCAAGACAACACCCCACAGACAAATCTAATATAGGAAATTCCTCAGTTGAGGTTCCCCCTTCCCAAGACTCTAGGTTGTGTCAAACTGACAGCTAAAGCTAACTAGGACACCTGTACTAACACTAAAGAGACTGAGAATTCAATCCACGAGTCTGGACACCTCAGCAGTTCTAGTCCAGCACGAAGGCCTGAAGAATTCTGCTGAGCTACTGGACTTGAAGCACATTCATCTCAAGTGTCCTTCAAGACTCCATGTCCCAGGTCAGGCTGTTCCCATGACTCTATAATAGGGAGGGGGGACAACAGCAAGCCACTGAGGATATTGTCTTAGTTAGCTTCAGCTGTCAGCTTGATACATATCTAGGTCACCTGGAAAGAGGGACTGCAACCCCCCAACTGAAGAACTGTCCAGATCAGATTGGCCTTTGGTTGTGTCTATGAGTTATTTTCTTAATTGTTAATTAATGTAGGGAAGACCCAGCCCACTGTGGGCAGTACCATCCCTGGGCAGGTGAACCTGGACTGTATAAGAAAGGTAGCTGAGCAAGCCAGGTGTGGTGGTTTGAATGAGAAGCACATCACTGGGGGCAGTCTTTGAGTGTTCTTAAATTTTGCCAGATTTTCAATCTCTCTGCTTCCTGTGCCTGCTTGAAGATGTAATCTCTTGGCTTTCTACTCCTGTCATCTCTGCCGGTATGCCTCCTCCACCATTATAGATTCTAACCCTCTGAACTGTAAGCATAAACTCTTCTTTCTATAATTTGCCTTGGTCATATTGTTTTATCAGAGTAACAAAAAAGTAACTAATACACCAAGGGAAGCAAGCCAATAGGCAGACTCCAAGGTCTCTGAAGTTCCTGCCTTGAGTTCTTGCCTTGCTTTCCTAGATGATAGACTATAACTATAAATGAATCCTTTCCTCACCTAAGTTCCTTTTGGTTATTGTTTCATCACAGCAACAGAAAATCAAATGATGACAGAAATTGATACCAGGAGTGGGGTCTCACTGTGATGGACCTGACCATGTTGTTTTTTAAGAGGATTGTGGACGCATTTAGAACTTTGGGCTGGAAAAGTTGTTGAGTACTTAGAGCTTAATGGACTGTTCTGTAGGAACTTGAGAGATCAGAATTCTGGGAGAAATGTAGATCATGGAGGCCTGGCTTGTGAAGTTTCAGAGGGATGTTTGAGAGTCCCTCAAAAGTTCTATTAGGACTGTTAGTGTGATATATTTTCAATCAAGAATTTATAGAAGGTGGGTGTGGTGGCACATGCCTTTAGTCCCAGTACTCAGGTGGCAGAGGTAGGCAGAGCTCTGTGAGATGGAAGTCAGCCTGATCTCCATAGCAAGTTCATGCCAGCTCTGGGCTGCAAGGAAACCCTGTCTCCAAAAAAAAAAAATTGAATCTAAGGAAGTGAAACTTTTGCTTTACTGAGACAATGGATGCGGTTGGATGGGACTGAAAATTCCTCTGTGATTAACATGAGACCAGCGTCACTGAGACAAAAATCTTCTGGGAAATATTTGCTCAGGGACAGCACACAAAAGCTGTGGTCTGGGGATGGGGGACACGTAGTTTCAGCTGTCAACTTGACAAAACCTTGAGCTACCTGGGAAGAAGGAACCTCAACATAAGAATTTCCGAGGTCACCTTGACCTGTGGCCATATCTGTGAGACATTTTCTTATTCGTTCATTGATGTAGGAGGGCCCAGCCTACTGTGGGCAGTACCATCCCTAGGCAGATGGGTCTGGACTATATAAGAAAGCTGAACACGAGCCAACTTGGGATGGACCCTTGCCTCCTTGAGTAACATTTGCAGCAATTTTCTTATGTTGTTGTTATTTAGTAGTCAAAAATTTCTTAGGTCTTTTTCTTCCACAAGTTAGAAGCTTAGCTGGGTGGAGTCTTACCCTGAGGGTGCCCTTCCCATTGTTCAAGTTCAAAGCAGGAGGCCTGTCCTTAATATTGCTAATCTCCTTAAAAATGAGAGACTCTCTTCCAGTGCAAGCCTTAAGTTCCCCAGTTTTTTTCTCTCTCCAAATTATATATTTTCTGTTTCTTTCTGCCCTACTCCACTTTTTCATTATAGACCCACATGAACATTATCAATAATAACCAAGCTGTAGAGTCAATCTTATGTTTTCTGGAAATTTTCTTTGCCATAGAAATTTGTTCATCCCTTTTAAATTTAGCCTCACATAAATTCTCAAGGCACAGGTAGAAAACAGCCAGATTCTTTGCCAACATATCACATGCATCCCAGACATCATTAAAGCCCTTGCTTCCCTCTGAAATCTCTTCAGCTTTGGCTCTAAATTCCACATTACTTTCAGCACAACTGTTTTCTAGGCTCCAACCAGAATGGCCCATTAAGCTCTACTTACAGCATTCAACTGCTTTTCTGGTCCAAAGTTCCATAGTCTTCCACATTCTTCCCCAAAATAAGGTGGTCAGTTTCTTCAAAGCAATAGCCCACTCCCTGGTACCAACTCCTGTATTAGTTACTTTTTTGTTGCTATGATAGAATACCATGATCAAGGTGACTTAATGAAGGACGAGTTTATTTTGACTTATGGTTCCAAAGGAATGAGCCCATCATGATGGAGACACACAGCAGCAAGCATCAGGAGTGGGAAGCTGAGAGATCACATCCTAAACAACAAATGCAAAGCAGAGACAGTGAACTAGAAGCAAGGCAAGGGTGTCGACACTCAAAGCCCATACCCAGCAACACTTCCTCTAGCAAATTCTACACCTTTTAAAGAATCCATAATCTCCACAAACAGTATTGCCAAGTGGGGACAAGGCATTCAGATCTTTGAGCCTAGAAGGGACATTCAAGTCACCACATCCACTAAAAAAATAGAATGAGGAGTGGGTAGTAGAACATACATGCTCCAAAGGAACAGAGGGAGAAAACAGGGTGGTAAAGATTTAAGCAGGGATAGGGACAATGGGGTGAGGAAAAGCCAAGGTAGGGGGTGGGTTAACCAAAACTAAGGATGAATGAAGAAGCCTTATAAAGTGCCACTCGTTTGTAAGATAGTTAACACTGTAGCATTTGAACAGAAGGACCCCCACATT